TCCTCCTGCCTTCACACTTTCCCACCATCAGGGTCTTTTCCAGGGAGTCTTTTCTTCTCATAAGATGACCAAAGTACTGGAGCCTCAGCTTCAGGCTCTGTCCTTCCAGTGAGCACTCAGGGTTGATTTCCTTTAGAATGGATAGGTTTGTTCTCCTTGCAGTCTAGGGGACTCTCAAGAGCCTCCTCCAGCACCACAATTCAAAAGCATCAATTCTTCAGCAGTCAGCTTTCTTTATGGTCCAGCTCTCAGTTCCATACATCAGTACTGGAAAAACCATAGCTTTGACTATTCGGACTTTTGTTGGCAAGGTGATGTCTGTGCTTTTTAAGATGCTGTCTAGGTTTGTCATCACTTTCCTACCAAAAAGCATGTGACTTTTAATTTCGTGGCTGCTGCCATCTACAGTGATCATGGAGCCCAAGAAAGTAAAATCTGTCACTACCATATACACACTGTATGGTGTGTACCTGCACTAATTTCCCTTCCCCACAAGGGGAAGCTATGCTGCTCTGGAGAGTCTTTAGCTTTCAGGCAGGACTTTGTGAAGGTATAGAAACCCTGACACTTACTTACTTACTTACTTACTTACTTACTTACTTACTTACTTACTTACTTACTTACTTACTTACTTATCATATTTAAGTCCCCTTTCTCCCAGTGAAAGTGACCTACAAAATAAAAAATAAAAAAACAAAACCAGCTAAAACACAGTAAATCATTGCAGTAAAAACTATGAAACAAGTGCTAGGATTAAAATATTTGGTAAAACACATTAAAACATACTGTGAGACTTGAGGTGAGAGTGTAAAGACTCTCACTAGAGTGTGGTCCTCCCTCAAAATAGAGCAGGAGGCACAGACAAACTCGCCTACACCGCCCATCAAAACTAAACAGCAGGGAGTTGACACTCGGGAGTTGGAGCGGGAACTTTTGAAAATGACAGTGGCCACACAAACGGAAAGTGAATTGGCGGGAAGAGAGGAAAAGGGGAGGTCCGCCCTGGAGGCGGGAATGGGGGATATAAAAGGACATGTTGACCCGATACCAGGGGGTTGGGAGATGATATGAGTGGAAGACCCATGGAATGGTAAATGGGAAACAGTGAAGGTTCCTCGAGAGGAGACAGACTACTGGAGGTGAAGGGGTCAGCCGCAACGCCCTTTATATTGGGGAGAGTCTGAGGCTCAGGAGTGGCGCAGACGCCTCAGGGAAGAAAAGGAAGCAGTATCCTGAGAGGAGAGGGAACACAGGGCATGGCGTTTAGAGGAAGCCCGGAAGAGAGGTACTTACTGGACCCCTCTACAAGGAGAGGAGGATGCCTATGGGGTGGAGAACTGAGATGACAAGACCACCCTGCTATTGAATCCTGAGACTATGGTCCATGGCTTTGAGGACAGTAACCCATTTATGAGGGGACCCTGGGACGAGTTGATTAACAACCCCTTTGTTAAAGATGTTTGGATGCCCTCGCCGGACCTGTTGGCAATGGGAGAAAAGATGGAAACTAAGGTTGCATTTATTGTTAAATGTTCCAATAAAAACTAGTTATGAGTTTTCAACAGACGTGTCTCCAGAGTCTCATTTGGACACCGGGGAGGTAAAACCCGAACCCTCACACATATGCGCATAAAATAATAATACTGTTGAGTATCCAAGATTAAAAATCTTCATTGCCCAGTTGGTTGTTAAAAGCCTGTAAAAGAGAATGGTCTTTGCCCATCATCAGGGGAGAACATGTGGAGATGACATGGGAAAATCAGAGGAAGAACTGTAGGTCAGAGTTAGAGCACAATCTTTCTGCCTTATGCTTCTTCTCCTGCCCTTTCCTCTTCAAGAGGTCTAAAAGACAGAAGTAATGCACTTTCATCTGGATATTGCCAGTGCCAGCCGAGAACTGATCCAGCTTTAGCCGATGTTTGAAAATGTAAGTTCCCAGTCTTGCGTACTTCTCTTGTTTTCAGGTGTGCTTGTGTGTGTTTCTCCTGATTTAGTTATTAGAAATAATAAAGGAATATCACCCATCCTCAGTCAATGGGATATGGGGAGAGGGGGAACAGGAGCCTCCTTCACTGGTCAGATTTGGCCTTGTGCTGGAGATACGTACTGTATTTTTCCGTGTGTAAAAATGACACTTTTTCCTAAAATAATTTGAGGAAAAATTGAGTGTCGTTTTATACATGGAAGGAAGCAGTCGCATGCGTGCTCGGGTGCCTCTTACTGCCACCGCTGCCACTGCCCAATTGCCTCTTCCAGACTGCCGCCGCTGCCGCTGCCCAATTGCCTCTTCCAGAAGAGCTCACGGCTAGTCCCCTCTTGTGACCCTGAGGCGGCAGCAGCAGGAGGCAGAGGCGAAGGAGCAGTCACACATGCGCTCGGGCATATTTTGCTGCTGCAGCCACCAGATCACCTCCGAGGCAGCAGCAGCAGGAGGCAGAAGCGAAGGAGCAGTCACACATGCGCTTGGGCATCTTTTGCTGCTGCAGCCACCAGATCACCTCCTCCAGCGATCTCCTTAGAGCAAGGGACAAGGCAGCAGATGTGAGCTGGAGGTGAGCCCCGGCAGTCGGCGGTCGCACTGGGGGAGGTAATCGGGTGGGCAGCGGAGACGGCAGCAGTAGCAGGAGATGGAGGTGGAGGAGCAGTTGCCCATTAACTGCTCCTCTGCCTCCATCAAGGGTCAAAATTAGGGGGTTGTTTTATACATTGGGGGATCATAAACACAGTAAAATACAGTACTTATTCCATATGTTATACAGTAGATGGTTTTATTTACACCAGCCTTCCCCAACTTGGTGCCGTCCAGATGCCTGAATATATAACCATATTTTTATGATTTTACCATATTTTTGGCTTAAAGATCAGCTCATTTAGGAGGCTTACTGGCAAATATAAAGCAGTTCTAAATACTGGCTGTTCTGGTGGTATCATGCTACTGGTGTGACTTCCCTGGTGGAAAGGTGCAAGAATTGTGGAAATTGTGAAAGTGGATACAATTTTGGTATGCATCCTCATTCATCATGAATGTGTGTGCTCTTAAATTTTCAATATTATTGTTCAGCAGGCTACTACCAAATGAGAGGGACCAGAAAGTGACTGCAATTTAAGATTCAGTACTGACCATTACCAAGATAATGGCAGCTTGCAATCCTATGTAACCATTCACTGGGAATAAACATGGTTGAACTTAATAGGACTCAGGTCAGACAACACATGCATAGCAGAGTTGGAGAACGATGTTTTCAATACAAGCAAAGTGCATGTTATGTATGTTTACATTTAGCTCTAAACACCAGTAACTCTTAGAGCAAGCCATGCCTGATCCCTTTCCTGCATCCTTTCTTTGTCCCACTAGACATCAGGGCCATGAATTGCAAGACTTCGCTAAATTACTTTTTCCTAACTTGTTGCTATGAAAGCTGCTGGCCATACTGTATAAAAACAATTGATGAAGCAATTACTATTTAGCCCCAGAGACTGAAAGAACATGACTTAATTAACTCACCCTTTGGTGAAGATTATTTTAAGATGAAGATTGAATATTATCCCTCCCATTGTCTGTTTCTGAACTGGTGCCCTGCAGCTAATGCTTGATTGCTGCTGGTCTGGGTCACCTTGTACTCTTAATATATCTTCAATGTACAGTTGTTGATCTATACCAGTTTAATAGCTGCAGCCATTTCTATGGAATCCTAGGATTTTTTATACTTAGCAGCTGGAAATCTGTGCTAGAGAGCTCTTATTCATTGCAGTGCACTACAGGTCTTTAGCAGTAAATCTGAAGTGTCTCCTCAAACTACCTGTTTCACAGGACAGGATCATGACAGTTAAAGTGCTTTCAAGTTGCTATAATTGTGTAGTGTGGATTCACTCCTGGTTGCCTTCTCCCCAAACAATAAAGCTTGTGCTATTGAGAAAGGCCATTGAAATATGTTCCAAATGGCTTTTAACTGAAATAATATCAGCTGTAGGTCTGATGGCAATTTTTAGAATATATATTTTAATTGCATTTTAATTATTTTGCCCTTTCATTTTGTCTTTTTATTGTACTGTATTTTAAATGCTGTAAGCCGCCCAGAGACCTTCGAGTAGTGTGGTCGGCATA